AAACATGACCAGAACTCTCAGCTGCTTATAGACTGTGGACCTCGAAATGTAATTGACTACTATAATGCAAACTGGCATCTTATAAGAGAACAATGGGTGGAGTGTTTCAAAGGAAGTAATCTTACTCTTGGTGAAACTACAAACAACAGACTTGAAAGTATTAATGCAAAAATAAAGAGTGTTTGTACTCGCTATGCCACTTTACCAACATTTTTTCGCCACTTTTTCGCTTTACTTTTATGTCTTCGCAATGAAAGGAACCACATCACCATAATGGATCTAGTGAAGAGAAAGATAGTATGTGGGAACCACATCACCATAATGGATCTAGTGAAGAGAAAGATAGTATGTGGGAACCACATCACCATAATGGATCTAGTGAAGAGAAAGATAGTATGTGAAAGTTCACAAGTAAAGCAGTATGCTGAATTTGTCACACCATATGCCCTTCAGAATATTCAACAACAATCATCTGCAGAGTATGGTCCTGACACATTTTCTGTCGAGGCGGAAAATAGCTCTTTATTTTTATGCCATTTGTTACTTAGTGCTAGGCATTGTTGTTGTAAATTTTGGTCAAGCATGAATTTGCCATGTAGGCATATACTATCACTTTGAAAGAAGCTTGGTTTACCCTTGTTCAGTGAAGAAATTGTTGCTGAGAGGTCAAAAAGATAGTATTTACAACATGTCTATGATGTTAAATCAACTGAAGCTGAAAGTGAAAACTCACTACAAGTATGAATTGTGTGTCATATGTATGATTAGCATATATGTTGTTTTAGATTGCTGCTACAGCAACAGAAACTGTGACACAGACTCTATCTCAATACAAAAAGTATTGTAAGGCTCTTACAGTGTCAGAGAAATTGTCATCTCTAGCTAGTGAGGTAGGAATGAGGGAGTTAATGAGAGGTTGAAAGTAATGATGGACCTTGAAGAAGCTTGGCTATAAGGAAAAAACCAGAAATAATTTTTAGTCATACTACAATTGAATCTGAAGGTATTACATGTTTACAAAATTTGGTAAATGTATTACATTTATAAATGTAGATTCACTAGATGTATGTAGTACAGAAGTGGTAGTTCCATCCTGTAGTCCTTGAGTTCAGGTATATTACCAATGTATACTATTATTATTATTAATTTTTAGGAGGACTCTCATCAGGCACTTGAACATAATGAGCCAGTTCTACATAGCACTGAAAACATCAAGCTATCACCAATTTTAAAGAAAAGGGGCCGCCCAAAGGGACATGAAAAACTGTCATTGGTTTACCATCCAAAAGGTTTAAGAGGAAGACAGGAGGAGTTTCTCCTTTGCCTTTTCTAAAGAAACACCCAGTTGACAGAGAAAAAAGTATTTACCATTATTTTAATTGTAGTAATTAAGTTTTCTTTATAGTAATTTTATTTTGGCTAGTTGAAGCAGAAATGGTATGTTCAGCTATTTTAGGTAGATCAATTATAAATGAAGAAGATGTAGAAACTAGACCTGAAAAGATTCCTGCATCAATAATCCATGAAAATGTGTGCGTAACAACCTGTA